CCATCAGTCTTATGACACCGTATGTGTACATATACATATACATATACATATGACACTTTTAATATGGTTGGTATAAAATGGACCAAAGTAGATATAACAAGTATTAAAGTCATTTGACAAAAAGGAACCAAGTAACCATGTTTTTACAAAAGTAACCTTAAAATTATTATACCTGTACCATCAGTCTTATGACACCATATGTGTACATATACATATACATATACATATGACACTTTTAATATGGTTGGTATAAAATGGACCAAAGTAGATATAACAAGTATTAAAGTCATTTGACAAAAAGGAACCAAGTAGCCATGTTTTTATAAAAGTAACCTTAAAATTGTTATACCTGTTCCATCAGTCTTATGACACCGTATGTGTACATATACATATACATATACATATGACACTTTTAATATGGTTGGTACAAAATGTACCAAGTGTCAGAGTGTCAGAGTAAAAATGATAAAAGAATTACATCTTGAATTACAAGAACTGCCTCTCAAAAATTGCACCTTGAAATCGAATGAAATTATAAATTGAAAGATGGAGACAGATCTCTGTTTCCCCGTTGTATCGGTCACGGAAACCGTTTGAAAGTTTCGATCTGGCGATCGGGTAACAGGTTCACAAACGTGTACTTACAAAAGAAAGTCTTGCTCCCAGCATGGATTGGCCCCTTTCACCGTTACCGTCGTCGACTTCACATTCTGCAGCTTCAGTGTTACGTAGGAGTTGAATTGTTCCGCTGAAATCGTTGTCGGTCGTTTTGAATCAGGCGTAAACGTAAACGCGTGTCCCGGTCATTTCGGCCGATTGTTTCGTTCGCGCGGCACAGAAACGGCTAAAGGTTATGTGACTTCGATTGATTGCACAAAGACACGTCTGGACTGTAAAAGAAATCCATCCAGCGGAAGTGGAAACGTTGACGTTGACAAATACCGTTCGAACCTGCTCGCGGGACAAAAACTATTTACGATCGGATAAACTGGGATTTATTTCGTGTAACCGATAAATTAAATAGCGTTCGGAGCACCGGTAGCCATTTTCACGCTCGGGAACGACCTTTCGGATGGGTACGCTCTTAACTGTTGAACTCTGGCAGAATTTTTAGTGCTGAAGCGTTAAGCGTAATCACTGAATTATCAGTTATTACACTGTGCGATAAATCCTTGAATGAGTGATAATTATGAAAAAATGCTGTAAAAAACAACTCTTGATTCTATACTAAAAATGTTTGATCTAGAAATTGATAGTAATTCAAGAGTGAAAAATTTTACTAGTGGACACGTTTTTACGAGATTATCGCAAATGCCACAAAAATTGTGTACACGGAATTTTGCATATTTCATATTTTACTCAGAGAAATGTCATATGTGTTTTGCATATTTATGAAATGTAAACGTCCAAAGGCGTGATGGTCGCAATAAAAAATTCCATCGAGTTATTTGGGGAAGTTAATGGAAAAATTGAATAAAGGATATTTTACGTAGTAGCAAAACCATCTGCGGTCATCAACGTGTTAAACGAATTATTTCTGATAGTAAAACGTTAAACGTTCCGGCGCTTTGTTTATACGAAGACCATAGAGTTACGTTTTGTAGCGGTTTCCTTTTACCTCGTCATCGTGAGCAGCTTTAATTAAAAAATCTTTTAATTACCACGTACCGGTGGCAGTCGTTTGTATCTGGAACGCGCGCAACTCGAAAAATAATAAAATATTTTCAGCGTTGATAAAACTGTCGTGCATCGAGGGCTACGAAATCGTAACAAATATCGAGCATCGTTACGTTCCAGTCGTGTCCCGTCATTTCCAGAAACAATTAAAAAGTTATTTACAGCGACCACCGTCGGAAGGCCATTCCGAAGTGTTCTTCTCTACACATAATTGCACGAGAAACGAACTGCCTAGTGTCGCTCGAGACAATATTTTCCGATAACCTCTCGAAGCTTGACCCGTCTAACAAGCCATACCGACGGAAAACATTTATAAGCGGACGTTGAATCGATAACAGATCAGGACTCGTACACTCCGGTGAAACGTACGCTCCGTTCAGAACGAGTGTGGAACCTCGACATTTCAGTAGCTTTTCTTTTTGACAAATATGTATAGACATGGAGTGATTTTTAAATTAATATTCTAATATTAATATTAATAATATTCTAATCTTTATAGTTTAATATGGCCAAATTCTATATGGCTATATGCTGATAGCCTCAAATTTTTAGACCCCCAAATTTCTACGTCCTTAAATTCCTATACCTCCAAATTTCTGTGTCCTCGAATTCCTACAAGTCCTCAAACCTCTACGTCTCTAAATTTCTACGACCCCCAATCTCCACATCCCCAAACCACCACGTCCTCCAATCCCTACGTTCCCAAATTTCTACGTTCTCAAATCCCTTCATCCCCAAATCCCTTCACCCCCAAATACCAACGTCCCCAAGTCCTTCAACCCCAAATTCGTACGTCCCCAAATCCCTTCACCCCCAAATCCCAACGTTCCGAAATTTCTATGTCCCCAAATCCCTTCACCCCCAAATCCCAGCGTCCCAAAATTTCTATGTCCCCAAATCCCTTCACTCCCAAATCCCAACGTCCCCAAATCCCAACGTCCCAAAATTTCTATGTCCCCAAATCCCTTCACCCCCAAATCCCAACGTTCTGAAATTTCTATGTTCCTAAATCCCTTCATCCCCAAATCCCAACGTCCCCAAATCCCTTCACCCCCAAATCCCAACGTCCCAAAATTTCTACGTCCCCAAATTCCCCACACCCCCAAATCCCTACATCCCCAAATGTCTACGTCCCCAAATTCCCCACACCCCCAAACTCCTCCATCCCTAAATTCCTACCACCCCAAATCCTTCCATCCCTAAACCCCCACAGCTCCACCTTCTCAAACGCCCAAAATTCCCCAAAACTCCACCCCAAAAAAATTCTAAATCTCCAAATTTCTGAGTCTGTATAAAGTTTGCAAACTTCTGAAGAAGTAATAAATGTGTTCGTTTTCCGTCGCCTGATTTTCGTGAAAGAAGCCTACCATGCTCTGCAGTGTACACAGAATCGCAACGTTCTCGAGAAACTTGGACCGTTTCTCAATTTACGAAGGATACGGACAGCCTTTCGTCCCATCCATGTGTCTGGAAAGCAGTGCAGCTGAACCGTAAAGCTCAATAAGCCCTCGGTCCACGTTGTGCCCGAGCACGCTTGTACGCTCCGGCTGCAAGCTCTCAATAACTCATGAGCAAAAAAGAAGAAAAATGAAGAGACTGCAAGCGGACAACGATACCCTGTGCGCGCGTTTCAAATACGAAGCGTACGAGTCGCAGCTTCATTTTGCGCGCGACGGAATTGTTTCGACAAACAGAAACCGGTGCCGCGATTCGATGGATCCTCGAATTTATTGTCCAACGGGAGAGTCGCTCGGACAGGGTTGATTAAAAGCCACAATGAGATTAGAAGTCGAATTCGAAATGGCCGTCGAAAGCGCACGAATAGAGAAGAATGGCGACAAGTGGAAACTGTTTCGATTCGAAATTACTTGGAAATGCATTGAAACGAGAACGGTAGTCGTTGATGAAGCGGAAAAATTGATAGAACAGACGTGAAAATCGAACGAAGGTATTTTTGATCGTGCAAATATAGACTGTTGTCGGACTACCAATTTTATATGGACTTTCGTGTAAGTCTCGAGGTTCCATTTTCGAATGAGGTGGAAATTTATGAAAATTACAATAAGCAAATGTACGTTGGATGAACACACGTTTTATTGCTGTGTATTTTATGATCACGTTATATCTGTAACTCGCTGTATTTTCGATGCTCTCTATTTGTGACTTGTACCTCCGATGCATTTATAACGCGTTGTATTTGCGACGCGTACTTGCGGTGCGCTGTGTCGGAAATGCATTGTATTTACAACGCGTAAAGCTACGATGTATTGATTTTGGAACGTACGATATTTCCAACGCGTTATACTTGGATTGCGTTGAATTTGGAACGCGTTGGAGTTGGAATGCGTTGAATTTGCAACGCACTGTACTTACGACGTGTTAGATTTACAGTGCGTTGCACTTGGAATGCGTTGAATTTGCAACGCGCTGTACTTGCGACGCGTTGGATTTACAGTGCGTTGAACTTTGAATGCGTCAAATTCGTAACGCGTTGGATTTACAGTGCGTTGAACTTGGAATGCGTTGAATTCGTAACGCGTTGGAGTTGCAATGCGTTGAATTCGTAACGCGTTGGAGTTGGAATGCGTTGAATTCGTAACGCATTGGAGTTGGAATGCGTTGAATTTGCAACGCGTTGCACTCGGAATGCGTTGAACTTGAAACGCGCTGTACTTGCGATGCGCTGGATTTACAGTGCGTTGAACTTTGAATGCGTCGAATTCGTAACGCGTTGGATTTACAGTGCGTTAAACTTGGAATGCGTCGAATTTGTAACGCGTTGGATTTGGAATGCGTTGAATTTACAAAGCGTTGCACTTGGAATGCACTGAATTTGCAACGCGCTGTATTTACAACGCGTTGAATTTACAGTGCGCTGTATCTACCACGCATTATACTTGAAAAGCATTATATTTTCGATCCATTAAGAATTCAAAACGCAGTAAAAATTTGTCGTCTCTACAGCGAAAGAGCAACGAAGGCAATATAACGATCGTCTACTGTACCGTTTAAACGCGAAGTTATTAACAGCTCGATTCCGTCCGCGGTCAGAAAATATTCCAATTGCTTCGTAAAGCGAAACAATTTCCATTATCGATGATTGTTTAATTACGTTTAATGCAATCACCGTTGAGCGAGTTATTTAAGGCAATTATAACGAGCTGTGCGGTTTAAGTCGATTATACAGACACGGATTCGGATTGTTTCGCGCGATTGTAACTATATTTCGAAAATGGCGCTTTCGACGAGCGAGGTTTTCTTTAGCCTCGTCATTTATTCAGCGCAACGTGACTCCCATTTCCCTATGATTGATTAATTGACAGAACATCTGCGACAGTTCGTAAATTTATTCTATGAATACACAACCACTCTGCTTTCAAGTGTCAAATAAACTAAAATAAAACACGTCGAGATATTCTCTGCGAAAATATCGAGTTATTATCAGAAAAATTTATTTACGGAAATAATTATCGAAGAAATATAAAAATGGAAGGTCCGAAATTGCGATTGATGAAAGTTTGAATCCATCGGAACCCGTAAAGCATACTCAACAAGAAAATATAAACTGTGAATCCTACTTTCAAGCTGACGTTTACGGAAAATAATGATTCTCGCAGATATAGCTAGCGTGACAGCGCACGTGCCAGCATTTATAGGATACAAAAAGACGCACGATATGAATGCAAATTTACTGAAAGTCTCAAGGCTTTTATCTGTCACGGCATTCTACCGCGAAGCGCGTCACAAGGCAGGTAAACCATAGAAAAACATAACAGAAAATTATTCTGACATGAAACGTTAAAACGCAAACATTGTTCGAAAAGTCTGAGATCACGTCTAGTCTCAAAACGTTATATTATCGAGCAATTAAAAATATATTTTTTATAGCGTCAGGTTCAAATTGTGTTCTCACATTTATTCAACTTTGAACACATATGTTTTCGTTTACATTTATTCTTGTCTGTCACTTCTTTTTCATTTTTCAACCTGCACGTTGACACATTCAACAAATACTTTTGAAGCTTGTACTTCAGAATATCTTCGAAATAACAGTGTCGAGTATAATTTTTCATTTGATGGATCAAAAGATGCGGAGACCGATATGAATATTCTTTTAAGAAACGAAGAAATTTTTAGCCGAACCCAATATTACAATTTTATAAAAGATTAAATTCGAGGATTAACGTACAACATAATTTCACCTTCTGTCAACAGATTTTCTCGAACTACCTCGAGGACCATCAATGAATCGTAACGAACTCTTTAACTCGACACGTCGGCTCTAATGATTCGAAGAACGTCGAAACTTTCTCGAAGAAAAATAACGGGAGACGAGTCCCGTTACGAAGTACGTTTTATTTTGCGCGTTAAAAGACAAAATGGTTGGAAAACATCGTTGAAAACTATGGGAAAGGAAGGAGTTTCGTAACGTCACGTTGTCGCGAGGATCACCGCCGATGCCGTGCGGAAAAATTATTTCTGCATGAACAGAATATCGTGATATTCCGGTTGAGAAGTCACATAACCTTTAACTTGGAACCGTTCCAGTCGGAGTGCAACAAATTTTACGCGAACCTCAGAACTGGAGCGTGAGCAAGAGCTCCGTTTTACGAAAGTATCGCGTCGATTCCAATTTTCGAAACAATCGAACCACGACGACCGATCGTTCATGGTTTTCGAGTCTCGGCGCCATCTTCTACGCTTCGGAGACTCAGTGGCGAACAACTGAACTTATGGTTGTTTTTCGCTCTGTTTATGCCGCTGCCAGCAAAATTCAGATGAGATAACCGTGAAAATTTCTGATCTTCGAGATGGGAAATTGATTTGAATATTTGGGTATTTCAGAATTTCAAGGTTAGGAGCTTGGAAATATAGGAACTTGCAAATTTACCAATTTGAACATGTAGAAATTTGCGAATATGGGATTTTAGAAATGTTGAAATAGAAAATTCAGAAATGTGCAAAGGTAGGAATTTAAAAATTGAAGAATTTGGAAGAGTAAGACTTTGGAAATTTACGAACTTGCAAATCTAAAAATTTGGCAATGCAGAAATTTGCAAATATAGGACTTCGAAAATTTAGAAATGCGAAAATGTAGAAATTTGGAAAATTGGAAAATTAGAAATGTAGAAATCCATAAATATTGAAACATGAAAATTAAAAAGTTCAGAACTTAATGAATTAAAAAATTAAAAAATTTTAAACTACAAAAATAAAAAATTTACCAATAAAGTAACCCAAAAATAAATCTCAAAACCTGCTAATTTAAAAGCTCCCAAGTTTTGTAATTCGAAAGTTAGTAAATTCCAAAGGGGATAAACTAACAGCTCAGGTGTTCGTCACTGTTCCGAAGCGGAGTGTCTGCTGCCGGTGTTTTAGCAGGATACAAACCTTCCTCGCAGACGAACCTCGCCTTCTTCACTGTAACAAAAACAAAGCGCGTCAATCGAAAGTTCTGTGATTGCGTTCCTGAATTTATTTACAGGACACCGGTTAAGAGTTAATATTAACAGTTCGCGAACCACTTAATTTCACTGAATCAACAAATCCGGCTAGGTACACGCGCGAGCTCGTCCATAAACGAAATTAAACCTCGTCGGTTCGATTGAAAGTGTACGTACGCAGCTCGAACTTTCGGAATAATTAAAAGCGAAATTGTGTTATTCCACTTATTTGTCCTAACGTGTCCGGCTTGATGGTTAATTTCATTTCTCTCGGGACCGAATTCATTGATCGAACAAAAATAGAACGGACAAATAATACGGACGATGAAGCGCATTAACGAGTTTATACGAAAATGTCTACGTTACTGTGTGTGTCAGTGTATTAATTACACGGATGAATTATTTAAAAAATGAAAGCTGATTATCCACACAATATTTTGAAATATTTATTTTTATTATCCTTGTCATTTATCTCGGAATTCTTGTCTCGCCGAATCTTTAATAGACGAGTACAGTAATAATAATTAATAAAATATTAATAATCCGTTTCTAAATATTTAATACCGGGAATTCTGCAATACAGAAATCTGCATAATTCGCAGGAGCTAAGTGAGCCATTCGAAGCAGTTTTCAAGATTTAATTTAGTATCGTGTTGATTTCAACCAAGCATGAAATTTACGATCTGAATTTTTCCACCGCGATGAAAGTCGATTTGCCCTCTTTCATGATAAACGGCGCAAAATGTTAATTACAAGAGAACCCGAGCACGAATCTTGTTTATTTTCGTCGGCGTCTGTAAATGCAAAGGGCGAACGGTAGATGGGCGCTTCGATAAAAAACTCGGGCGATTTTCGAATTCATGGAAATCCGTTCGACCGTAGCGGAGCCATTCGCGAGCATAAAAATAGGCATTCGCTTTTAAATGCATCTCGAAATCGAAGACACATACACGGAAATTGAAGCCGGCTCTGGTGAATTCGATTTCGACGTTCCACGATTTTCCATTCAACATTCGCTATCTGAATAAATCAATTCGCCGCAATTCACGTGTGACACTTCAACGACAATGAGCCCGCCTTGAAACGGCTTCCATATATGCATTTGCCGAACGCGTAGACAGATAGAACCACACACGCACAGACACACACGTGCCTCGATCAAACTATTCGAACAAGAGACGGGAATTCAATTTCTTCCGGAGAGAAAGCATCGGTAACGACATATAAAACGCACTTGACCAACTGTTCCCGTATTGAAAAAATTAAAAACGTTGTCAACGTATAACGAGATGCTGTGGTTACTGTTATGTAACGATTCACGTTAAAGTCGATTCATTTTTCTGAATCACCATTCTGATGAATGAACACTTTTTCAATGCAAATACCCACTTCATATACGAACGTATAATATGCAATAAATAAACTTCTGAAGACGCACTCGGATAATTTATAAAAGGCATTAGCAAAAGATTGTTAATATTTAAGTTGTTATAACTTCATAAAGAGAAATCACACAATCTACAACGTCGTCTTAAGGAGCGGAGAGTCTGCTTTCAGCCCGCTAAGTTAATTTCCCTGAAAGATGCTTTTACACTAGGAAGCGGAGAGGTATTTTTATCTCGAAGATTATGAAAGATCAAACGATCCCACGTAGTTTAAAAAGCTTTTTTCCAATCAAATCAATTCCATGAATCGCGAATGAATCCATGCACTTTCAGACACCGTTTGACGTTGTTTTACATTATGTAGATACGCAAAATTAAGATATTTTATTGACTCATGAAAGAATATGACATTAGGAAATTGATTATATGCGTGGTTTACTTTGCGTGTTGTTAGAACGCTAACCTCGGATTCTATACACCTGTCGCCAACTTATAACAAATTCTTGGACTTTTCTACCTGTTGAAAACGTACTATAAGCGCCGAGAAACTGCACAACCGAAACTACATAATGAGCAATAAATGCTTGTAATAACTTCTGAATTTACATTGAGGAGTAGGCTTTCGAACAACAATGTTCTTTCGTATAAGTGCTTATATGTGACAAGGTTCGATAACTGTCTATGCTTGATGTAAACATCGCTTTATTTTATAAATTTATTTCTGTGAAACAAACCGTAGATCACTAAGTCCTTGCAGACTCCTAGATCCATAAGTTAAATTCGTGGATCCCTAAATACATAGACCCTTAGATCCTTACGTGTGTATGTATGTCCACATATCCCTACGTGTCTATATTTCTAGGTCCCCAGATTTCAATATCCCTAAATCCTTATACCCATATGTTTTTATAATCCTACATATGCAAATGCCTATAGTCTTAAATCTCTACATTTCTACATTCCTGTACATTCCTCGTAATAACAGTTGAAGTGTTTTTGAATCGATCCTAAGTTATTATAGAATTACAAGATTAATTAGCAACGCCGCTTCGATGCGTTTCATCAAACCAAAGAAATACCGCCGACCCGATTACACTTAATAAGATTCAAAGATACCTCTAGGTCAAACAGCTAAAGCATTATTCTACGTGTGAGTTATGCTATCGATCGAAACGGTTCATAATTCTAGGCAAAGAACCACGTGTACTAGAAACTTAATATTTTTCAGCGGTGCCATTGTGAGCATCGATTGCCACACCGAAAAGGCTCCGAATGTTAAACGAGCGTTAATGATCTGGAGTTGTTAATAAATACTTGGAGGAAGAACACGGTCCGTAATATGTTTTACGTGTGCAAACGTGCACGGGTAATTTATCTGAACCAGCGAGCACCGAGAGTTTCGAAACTTATTAATTAACGAGTACCTGACGCATCCGATGTCGATGCATCAAAATTACAAAAGTTTCGCGTTTAAACGTAAACAACGATTCGAGAGTGCACCGATCCAGGGAACTCCGATCGTAACCGTACTTTTTAAATAGAGTTCCAGCGAAAAGGTCAGCAAGCGACCCGTACATGCACCCTGCTCGCTCGAGCCAATGAAGCTAACGTGTCGTGAGTCGGTGCTTATTTGCACCTGCACGAGTATGCGTGCTTCTAAATTGAACGAGGACAGCTTTCTAACGAACCGGCAGAGATTTAAAGCAATGACCTGTGCTAATAAATACCAGACAATATGCTGGAATCTAAGCGAACGTGTAACTGGCCTAAGGTTAACTGCGATACACAACAATGGCTTCAGCAAACTTGTCGTATAACACACACGCAACTACCCTCCATTTCTGCGGACGACGAACACGTAATCTGAACCGTTGTTAGGTGATAATCCGGAGTATTTATTCTGTCATGCGAAAAACAACCCTTAACGCATCGTGAATCCCACAATGGAATTCTTTCGGAATTCGATAGGAGCTAACTTCGCTCGTTAATTATTGGACTAAATACTAAAAAAGAGCCTACGTTTGATGAATTAACCTCTTCAAGGATACCGACACACGTGCACGTTTAATCTCTTTTAAGTTCAATAACAAATGACCACGTACGTGGACATTCCTTTTTCTTGTTTACTATTATTCTGGAAGCTTTTTTGTGTAATCGTTATTGATCCAGTGAGATGTGTTATTTTATCATTAATCAAATAAGCGAAATACTTAAACCGTTTCTTTGTCGAGCCTTAAAAAAGTCGTCCCTGAAGAGGTTAAACACGATATTTGCTTGTATACGATAGAACGCGTGATTCAAATACTAAGGTTGCAATTCCTGAACTCACGTAGCACACACACAGAGTAGTTCCATTCAGGTCGCATTGATTTCTTCCTTGCATTAAATTTTTTAGCACGTTATGTTAATCGCGCGTGTAGATCGTTCAATAAAGATCTAGGTGCATACATTAACAATGTTGGAGAAAGCAGCACGCTCGTTACACTTTCCGTTTCGTGTTATATCATTGTTCTAAATTTAAGCCCTGTACAAAAATATAGATTCTTGTTTTATCAATAATCGATGTTGGCTGAATTTTATTTAGTAGAAAAACGTAAAAATAAGACAACCTCGACTTAACCCAAATTCAAAAATAGTCTGAGACTCTTTCGTTTCCTATTTGACACACAAAGACTTATCGCCAAAGACGATAACCTTTTTTGCAATATAAAGTTCGCATGCATTCCGCTGCTCTGATAGCATAAATTTAGATATCTTGCCGTTTAAAATTAAAGTCGTTCTAAATAATCGTCGAATAATGCTAATAGTTTGATAAGGTTTCAGACTTTCGTTTCTCAAATTAATTAAATTTGAAGAATTTATTTTTCTGAAAATTAAAATTAAAAGCACAGAAATTTTCCTGAGGCCAATATTGCATTGACGTACGAAAGAGCGTATATCGTTGAAATTTTCGTGAAACAATATCGATAACCCGATTGCAGAGTATCGTATTATAATTTAAAATAAACACACGCGTTGAACGTTATCGAAAATATGCATTTGAAGCTCTCGATTAGCGGACGCTGGCTACTACCAACAGGTGCATATCACTTAATTATCCTTCTTTTTAGAAATTAATTACTCTCGACCACTTAAAAGTGCCTTCGCTCCTGTACACGATACCATTTGATATCTACACTGGTTGGCGTGCAGCCAGATGCGATTGAAACCCAATATGCAACGAGAAAACCGCGAAAAAAATACCGTTGGTACTACATCAAGTCTAAAATCATTAAATCGAACGGAAGTGTAACATGTTACAGTGATCGATGTTCAAGCAAGTGTATCAAAATTTATTTAACCTCTTCAGGCTCCATTTTCTGAACGGTTGCTTCATTTTATTGACAATACTTCTAAAAAGTATTTTCAAAAGAATTAATCCTGTGCAAAAAAAAATAGAATGTGCATATATGTGACCATTTATTGCTGAAATAAAAAGTACACATATGTGTAACCTCGAGGTAATCGTAGATAGTAGAAGTAACAATCCAAAATAGTCACAAGCAATAAAATAGAAGCACAATTAAGAGGTACATTGAAGATTGATTGCCAG